CCCCAAAACCCCAAAACCCCAAAAGGCAATAAAATTCTTAATAAATTGAATAATGAAATTTAATATTTCCTCCTAGACTATATATTTATGTGTTTATAGATTTTGAATTAATTAATCATTTCTTTTTAGTGGTTCCAAAATCAGAAGGTAGTCCAAACGCTGAAATATCATCTTCATCAAACTCAAATTACTCCTGCACTCTCTCTTTAATCTAGTTCTCTTCATTAAGCTTTTTGCGCTTATTCTTCTTGTCCTTCTCCTCTTACTCTTGCTGATCTAATCTTCTCTCAATGTCCTCAATAGACTCTACTGTAGTCACTGCCTTTCGCTTTAACCCTGCTAACTTAGCTTTGACTCGATCTAGTCCTACTTTCTCAACCACCATCGACATTCCCAGCATCTGATTGTGCTTTTTACCATTGATATGATCATACCAAGCATTAGAATCCTTCAGCTAAACTTTGCAAGTCTTGCAAAAGAACGCTGATTGCTTCTCCTCTTCTGTCTATATAGTTATAGTTGTCTCCTTCCCAATGATGTCCTCAGGTTTCACTATGTCTCGGTCAACTGGCTAAAGAAGCTTTCTTTTCTCTGGTGCTGGCACATTACCATTTTTACTTGATTTAGTTGGTCCCTGAAGGTGAGGAGGCTTCTCTAGAGGTTTAGGCGGCTGGAATGCTGCGTTGTTATTTACCTACAAAATCTGCCTTCCCAGTGAATCAGTTTTCTAAAATTTATTTAAGAAGTATGAATGCCTAACTTGATTGTTTTGAGGTTTCTTTGATTGCATTATTTATAATTATAATTTTAAACAAAATGCAGAGGAATAATGGCAATATTGATCAAAATGGTTATTACTCATAAAATGGGATGATGAATAATAACTAGTTTCCCCAAATGTTCTTTGACCAGATCATTGCTTAAACTCCACCCCAAAACTCACAGGGAAGGACCTAGTTGAACAATATGTTTTAAAACCCACTAAACTAGATCTTGCCCGGAAATTTTGGGTAACTCGGACTTCCACCCTCTCAATAAAACGCAGGATTAATGAGCTAGGGTCATATGGGGTACAGATAGCAATATATGGATGGTTAGATGAATTAGCCAATGGGTGGCTAAAGCCAATAAAGCATGATGATGGGAGGTATGCCGATGAGTCAAGGGCAATTTCAGTAATAGTCTCCTTATCTTAGCCACTAAAATTCACAAAGAAATGGCTAAAACTAAGGATAAAAATCATTGCAGCAGAGAAGAGATCTAGCTAAGAGTTTCTTTAAGAGAGTAAAGCAACTGCCCAAACCTCAAAATAATTAAAACATAGCAGTGCTGCAGGACACTGAGAGAATACTGCAAATACTCACCAATGCCTCTTACGTTGAAAAGAAAAATAGATTGGCTATGAGGAGAGATTCTGAGGAGGAAGAAGACAAGGGAAATGAGAAGATATTTACTGATGAAGTTGGAGTTTAGTCTTACTACAGGAATCAACAGGATCAAGACGAGAACTATCAGTTAGATGAAAATGCTGATTAAGCGCAGGCAGATGACGAATGGAGATATTTGGATATCGAAGATAAGAAAATCCTCAGTAAGAGGAAGAAGCGAACTGTGAAGGTAGAGGATTGCTACCTTGATCTTGACGCATTTTTTAAGAATAAGAAAAGATTTTGCCCTTCAGAGTCTATTCTAAATCATGATAATGAGAGCACATAGGATAGTGAGGCCAAGACCAAACTTCTTACTCAAGATGTAAGAGATCAGCTCAAGAAGAAGTTGATTGAGAAGTATTTCTCAGAGCTTCCAGAGAATGAATATACCCAGAGATCTGTGGTGAATTATATTAAGTACATGATAAAGAATGTGCAGTATAATAAACTCACGAGATCTATAGCCAACTTAGATGCATAAGAATCAATGGAAGAGGAAGAAATATTGATCGAACTAATTTAAGAGAATGATCCTTTGCTTTTACTTGATATCACTTCATTCTGGATCTACAACGCATTCTCAATATCAAGTAGCAGTGATCAAAAAGATACATTTTATGAGGCTTAGCTAAGATTTATATTAATGACTTTGGAGAAGAACATTAACCTGATTTTGTTTGAGAAGTAAACTCTGCATAAATGGATTAGTTTCATTAAAGCGATACCGTTTGTGATTTAAGATGTATTGCTGGCTCATGTATCAAAGGTTCTAAATAGAGTCTCAATTGATTAACTTGATTCTGGGTACCTTCAAGTATTTATTGAGTAATTAATAATGAATAAGATTCTAGTAAAGAAAGATATGAGGGATTCTTATCTAAAACTATTGGTTGAAGACTAGTTGCTTCACCAGAGATCTTAAGAAAAATTTGATAAGATTTGTAACCAAATTATTTTTTGCAAGGAAACAGGGCTTTTTGAAATTTCTTTTGATGATTAACTAAAAATAAAAGTAACTGAAGCAGTTAATGAGAATTTTCGCAATATTTGCCTTGGATAGCAGGCTCTTCCTGATGAATAAGATCAAGAGTAGTATCTGAAAAATTCCCTGACTTTATATATTGAAATAGCTAAAATATTCATTACTGAAAATGATTCATATCTGGAAGTGATACTAGACTGTTATTTTAAATGTGAAAATAAGCTGCTCAAAACAATCATGACTCTTTAAATAGGCTCGATTGCAAAGACTTTGAATTTAGACACTAATAATCAGAAAATGATTGAACTGGTTCAGAAATACTCTGAAGAAAAGCTACCTGATTTCAAGACATAGCTAAAGATTTTAGTAGATATTCTAGTTCAGCATACTGAGGATTAAAACACAGTAAGCTAGGAGTTTAAAAATATGATCTTAGGTATTGCTAAAACTCTTAAATCAAGCACACTTCTATCTAGTTTAATATTTAGTCTCGACTTTGAACTTGTCTAGGATCATATTCCTGCTATAATAGTCCAAGTTGAAGACCACTAACTCATTCCAGACATCAGGCCTTTGATTGAAAATATTGAGAAGAATTTAAATTCATAGCAAGATAAGATAGTTGAGTTGGTTTACTTGATATTGAAGCAGACGTTTGAATCAAGTGACAAGTAAGAGTAAGAGTAATTTATTAAGAGGCTAACAACAATTCAAGATATTCTTATCAGAAAGTTCAACAAGGAAACTGTAGCCAAAATTATTGAAAAACTGATTAAAAGAGAGAAGTGGCATTGTAAGATCCTCATTAGTTTGATTCTATTGCTGGTTAAGTTTAACAGTCCAGAGCAGAATGGTGTTGACTCTTACTTCAAAGATGAAGCAATGAACCTGATTAAAAAGATACTCAAAAAGAAAATTTGGGACTAGCTGAAGAGCAGCAAAGATGAGAAGCTGCAAGATGAATGGGATTGCATAAAGAAAGGACTTGTGCTGTATTTCACTAAGTATTAGTCCAAGGACAACTACAAGTTATTTAAAGATTACATACCCTCTGAAATCAGGGAAGAAATGATCAAGGAAAATTAGGACTTACTTAACTTTGTCAATACTTACTCAAGAAGATGATTAAATCAATGATATTTGCTGAGGCATTATTAATTAACTAAATCTTAATTTCATGAATACTTTCAAACTAATTTATGATGGGGTTTTGGGGTTTTGGGGTTTTGGGG